GTGTTGCTGGACTCTATAATCTCTCCCTAGTCATTTGTTTGCTGTTCATTTAAAATATGTTCTTTTTTTTTTTTTAATTTACTTATTTATTTATTTTGAGGACTGTTCTAGGAGCTGGTAATACAACAGAGGACAAAGAGACAAAAATGTCTGTCCACAAAGGGTTTATATTCTAACGGAAGAGAGGCGATAAATGGATGAGTGAATAGCTAGATCAGTGGTGGATTGTGGTTAAAGTCACAGTGAACAACCAAGGTTATGGGACTGAGTCTGTCAGGGCTCCTCTTTTAGGCAAGAGAGTCAGGGAGGGTCGCCTGTGAAGGTACATTTGAGCGCAGATGGACTTTGTGTATTCCCAAGGGTCCCTCTAGACCACAGGCTCCTAGATCCTCGTCTCTGGGAGCGCCCAGTCCATCAGAGCCACGTTCCTGATTTCCTCCTGGAGGCCATCTGGGGACCCCTGAAACCACACAGACTCAGCTCTCGTGCCAAACCTCTGCCGCCTCCTTCGTTTCCCCATGTGGTTCACAGCATGGCCAGCTTCTCACTCCCCCAAGCTAGAGACTCCAGACTTCCCTTCCCACCTTCTCCTTTTCCACTCCCCTGATCCAATCAGGTGTCAGCAGGGTCCTTGCCTTCCTCCTCATGCCCTCATTCACACTCCCCTTCTCTCGCCTGTACTCCATCAGGATACTCCGAATGAGTTTGGCAGCCTCTAGGTTTGCCCTGTGCCATGCTGTCATTCCCACTGCCAACAGGGCGACCTTCAGAACTCATGGGTTAGATCTGCTCTCAAGCCTTCCATCTCTACCCACTGCCTCCAGGATTAGCAGATGTTCAACCTCCCTGGATCCCACTCTGCTGGTTCAGCTGCCTCATTTCCCTCCCCACTACCACACTCTATGTGCTGGCCCCTCTGTCAAGAAAATCATCTCCCCAACACTTTGAAAATTCCCTTTCTCCTTGTGTATGCTTTTCACCACTTCCTGGACTGATCTATCCCTGCCCCACCCTTCCCTGCTCTCGGTCTTTTGCCCACCTACCTTCCCTGGTGGCTCAATGGTAAAGAATCTGCCTGCAATACAGGAGACCCAGGTTCGATCCCTGGGTTGGGTTGATACCCTGGAAGAGGAGATGGCCACCCACTCCATTATTCTTGCCTGGAGTATTCCATGGACAGAGGAGCCTGGCGGGTTACAGTCCATGGGGTCACAAAGAGTCGGACACAACTGACTAACACAACAACTCTGTAGGTTTTTAACCTTATTGCAGTAGCCAACTCTGTTCTGTGAAGCTTTTCCCTGTTCTCTTCCCTGCCCCCCTTGCCCTCCTCTCCTTTATTGGGATACAATAGTGCTTATATCAGATTGGATTCCCCTGGTTTAGAAGGGTTCTCTGTATTCCATTAGCCTACAGTGTACCTGGTTGAACCATGAGAAACTCCTGTTCTTTTAGTCAATATCAGGAAGCTTGTATGGTTCAATCTACTGTATCCAGTTGATGTCAATACTTGTTATTCCTGTTTTTGGCTTTGCTTTCAGAAATATTTGTACCTGCCACCAGAATGCCTTAAAGCATGGGCTTCAGAATAATTTTCAGCTCTTGGAGATATTTTGTATCCTATTCATTCTACATAGTCCATTTTTCTGGCCAAAAATGGGTGTGAACCTCAGAAAAGTTCTCAATGTATACTCCACTTTCTTTCTGGCTACGAACAACTTTTCTGTTGTGTGTCTTCTGATTCACATGGTTTGTCAGAAACACCAGTGAGGATTTGAGGCTGCTTAGAAAGTGGTGCAATGGTAACTTCTAGAATTGTCATACTCATTGTCTCATGAAAAGAAAATGACAAAGTTGTGAATAAGGCAGAAGCGATGCATAGTCTGTCTATAGTTTTTCAAGGTAAAAAAGAGATCAGACTATCAACCAGAAAATTTGTAAATATTTTGTCCAATTGTTATGATTTCTGTGACTCTGATACAGAACTAGAGTGGCCCCTAAATTTAGAATGTCTTTTATATTCTGCCTGCCCACTTCCACCAACATTTTAAAACGCTCTTCTTAAGTAATAACTCCCCCCCAAATTATTCTATTCTGCCATTTCTATAATTGACTGATTTTGCTTTTGATTGAGTGATTGCACTTTTTAAATAAAACCTGATAATGTAGCTAATCACAATTGTGCCCTTTTGTGCTGAATTGAATTTTGTTTTGGTATTAATTCTCTCTTGAACTGCTGAGGGAGAACAAGCCTGTCATGAAAGAACATTTGGCATCTTCCCCTCTGAATACACCTAAGCCATCTTTAAAAAATGTTTGCAGACTATCCTCTGTGGACACATTGTCAGGTTACATCACATCCGTGTTTCTTTTTGCAAGTCTGAAATCTTAGGCTGCCATGCTTCTCAATCCCCCCACCATGAAGTTGGCTGGGGCCGAATTCAAGGGGCTAGTTGATTGTGGGCATGGTCTCCGAAGACAAGCCTGAAAGTGGAAAATGAGATGTACAAAATGAAAAATGTTGAAACAAGCTAAACTGGTTTTTAAAATCTTGTCTGGTTCAACCGGGCCAGAGGCATTGAATGTAGAAGTCTTCAGGGATTATCTCACATGAATGCATTAAAAGCTCAGGTTGTTAGAGGATTTTGATTCAGGATCTTACCTTTTTTTGTTTTTAAGTGTTGAGCAACAGACCTTCAAAACTTGGGAGAGGATTTTTTAGGAGATGGTGGCCTCCTACTTGTCTTTATGTCTGCTTCTGAGATGTGTTCACCCCCAAACAACTAGCAGACTGTCTGAATCAGGAAACCCTTCACCCTTGTACTTATAAGTGGTCATGGCTGTATTTGATTGGAATTTCTAGAATTTTTTTTAATTGAGGTACAACTGACATACAATATTATGTTAATTTTAGGTGTACAGCATAGTGATTCAATGTTTGCATACATGGCAAAATGCTCACCATAATATGTCTAGTTGCTGTCTGTCACCTTACAAAGTTAATACAAAATTATTGACTGTATTTCCCATACTGTACGTTACATCCCCATGATTCACTCATTGTTATAACTGGAAATGTTAATCTTAATCTCCTTTACCCGTTTCTCCCTCCTCTCCAAACCCCTCTCCCCTCTGGAAGCCACCAGTCTTGTCTCTGTATCTATGAGTCTGGATTTTGCTTATTTGGTTTGGTTTGTTTGTTGGATTCCACATATAAGGGAAATCAGATGGTACAGTATCTATCTTTCTCAGTCTGACTCACTTCACTTAACGTCCATGGATGGACCTCGAGGGTGTTACACTGAATTTCTCTAAATCTTTTGAGTAGGAGCAGTCAAGGTGAGCAGGTCAAACAAATTTTAAAAATGGTGCAGAACTTACTGATGTTTGGAACCATATAGCTTATAACTCTGATATATATGCTTAGATGGGTTGAGAACATTGGTCCAATAGTATCTGAGGATGCAAGGAGACTTGTGAGAGCAGCAGTCACAATCATTGTTTTTAAAATAGCCTTTCTGCTGAACAATTAGAATGTCCTTGAAAACAGCCTTTTGACTCTGAATGCGGGATTCTAAGGACTAAGGCTCCATACAGAAATAACCACATCCAAGAGGTAAAACCACTCTAGTTTGATTTTTCAACCAAGGAGTCAGCAAACTGTCAGCCAGATATACTTGTAGCATATTATGCTCCTTTAAAAATAAAGATGGATACTATTTTATGAAATAGGTTTCAGCTGAAGTTTCTCTTACTATCTCATATGTTAGCTATAGATCAGGAAAAGGATTCTGGGGCTGAATTGCTATACTGCTGTTGTTAAATTGGTGTTTGGGCTCTCCTCCTCCTTCTGTCCTTTTCCTCCCCTCTTTGATATGTTCAAGTCAGTCTAGCTAGCTTGCTAGAGGTTGTGTGAAAGACACATTTTAAAAAATTGAAGTGTGGTTGATTTACAGTGTTGTTAATAGTTTCAGGTGTATAGAACAGGAATTCAGAAGATATTCATATTGCATATCTGTTCTTTTTCTGATTCCTTTCCATTGGCGATTCTTCCAAGATATTGAGTATAGTTCCATGTGCTAGCAAGTAAGGTCTTGTTGTTTATCTGTTTCCTATATGGTAGTGTGTATAATCTAACTCCTAATTTACCCCTTCCCTCCCCTTTCACCTTTGGTAACAGAAAGTTTGCTTTCTTCTGTCCATCCGTGGTCTCCTTTGTACATGTTAACTGGTATCATTTTTTTGTTTTTTTACATTCCACATATAAGTGATGTCATATGGCATTCTGTCTTTTTCTGGAAAGACACATATTAAAGAAAGAAAAAGAAAACGGAGACCCCAGGCAAGTCCTTTAACTAGATCCTAGGGTCTAGGGTCAGGGGTAAAGGAAATAAAACGAACTGGTGCTCCGTCCAGGGGTCCCAGGGGAAGGCGAGAGTTCCCTTGTGGGAAGAAACGAGGCTTTCTGCAGAAACACACAGGGGCCGGCGGAGTGCCGAGTCACGTGGTGGGAGGGGGCTCTCGTCTCTCTCACAGCCCCTGCTCTGATGTCACAAATCTATTCTTTCCTGGGAGAATTAATTAGCATTCATTGGGTGCAGTTGGCGAGGAGGAAGGAGGGAGCCGCAGCGCGCGTGTAGGCAGGCGAGCCAGAGGCGCAGCGCGGTCTGTGGGGTTCCGGGGTGGGGGGGGGGCCCGGGAGTCGCATCGGGGACTCGGGCAGCGGCGGGCAGGGGTGGCGGTGTTATAACCGGGATCCTCCGTGACGTATGGCTGCCGGCCCCTTGGCAGCTGTCTGTCTGGACCAGTAGGCGGAGGGGGATTGACGCCGCCGGAGACTTTTGCATCTTGGAAGGGACTGTAATCTTCTGGAGTGAAGAACCGAAGCTCTCCATCACCCGGGTGTAAATAAGAGGCGGAGGGGGAGAGCAAAAGAAAAGGAAGAGGAGGGGGAGACGTGGGTGTCGGGGGGAGCGGGCAAAGCATTTTTGGTGGATGGTATGAAGCCAGCCATGGAAACTGCAGCGGAGGAAAATGCTGAACAGAGCCAAGAAAGAAAAGGTACCCTGGGCTCTGACAAGAGCCTGTTTAAAGCTTTTCACTGGGGGTGGGTGGTGGGGGTTAGAAGGGGGTAGCCGGATTTGTGTCTGGTGTAAAAAAAAATCAGCTCTGAAACCATCCGGATGGCCTGGTCTGGCTCTTGGGGTGGTTTTCTCCTAGAGGCTGGTGTTAAATGAATAGAGAGCAGCCTCTTTTCAGTCCAAATCTTTCTCCCAAACGTGGTATTGCACAGAAGGAGGTCTACAATCTGTCACCTTGGGAAGCTGGGTTGGGGAAACTGTCTGTTGTAATTACTATAATGAGCCCTAACTGAGATCCTAGGCTCTGCAAGTTTTATTCCGGGGACATGGAATGCATTGTCTTTTAGTAATGCGGAGGGGAAGCTGGAGGGACACGCGTATTAAAATACGCTTTGGTTCTGCTGATGCTGTAGTAATTTTGGACATGCTCTAATTTTTGTATTTAATACGATTGCTATTTCTGTGTATCAGACCCTAACTCTGATGTGTAATAACCATTTACAGTTGGAGCTTGAGAGAGAAAACATCAGCTCTGTGGGCTTGTACTGATGGAAGAATGTTGGGGGGGTTGGTGTTTTGCTGTTTCTGACTTGGAGATCTCCGACAGGAAAAGCCACACAGGTCCTGTTCTTCAAAGGGCATCTGAGAACACATCCTGATCTTGACTTTTGTGGGGAGAAGTCAGTGTTTTGCGGTAGGAAGATGGCAGAAAATAGAGGCTAACATTAATCTCTCTTTTCCTAGATAATGACTGGTTCAGGTTCACTACCTCACAGAATCAGCTCAGGCCCTGTGAGGTGAAGAGCATCTCACTGCATTGTAATTTACCTCCTTCACCCAAAGTTACTGTCCTAAAGGCACCAGAACACGTTCGGTACCCGCAGTGGCTCTTATCGCAAAAGCTCCCCATGCTAGGGTTATTTCTCCTGACCCTGACATCCACTAATAGTCACTAAACAACAGTCAGTCTCCCAGATAGAGGTACAGGTATGTTTTACATAAGACTATGTAGGTTGATCCGCCTGAAATTCCTGATAGTCAACCATTTTGCATCCACAAAAACAGCAATTTCGAGAATTTCACCGTGCCAGCATGCTTGGGTAGAACAGTCCTTGAATAACATTCTCCCCTAAACTGAGCAATTTCACTTTTAAAATTAATTGCTTTTCAAGGTATGATAAAATATGCAAGAACAAAATGTGCCTTTTGAACCATTTTTAAATGGATAATTCGGTGGAATTAAGTACATAGCATTTAGATTTCTACAATTGATAGTTGAGCTTAATCTCTGCGGCAAACCTACCGCCCCCCCAAACAACAGCAAAAGCCAGCCCCTATATCCCCCTGCCTTTTCTTGTATGTATACATTTGTTCATTTATATGAATGACCAAATAGCAGTAAGGGAAACTCGCGGGAATATTTGTAAAGCTGAGGAACTGAGATAAAAGTTGAAAGACTGATTTCCATGACAATTAGAGACAAAGCTTGGGCGATGTAATCACGCAATAACAGCATTGTTGTGAAGAAGCCAATCACAGTTGTAGCAATTTTCCCCAAAAATAGATAGATACAACACATTTTGTACTAATATGCAGCTGAAACCACTTTTGGTCTCCACAGAAGCAAGAACAGGGCATAAAACCAGTGTAGAATCCATACCAGACTCTGGTTCTCACCATTGTTTATCTTCTGGAGTGCTATTAATTCATATCCATTAAATATTTATTATTTAATACCAAAAATCTACAGCTGCTACTCCATCCCTGGCAGTCTGTATATGAAAACTCATTAGCAAGGGTTTCAGAGACAAAATTAGAAGCAAAAATAATTTCTGGAGGAACTTTAAAAATTACCAAAATGGATAAACACTAGCTGTTGAATAGTCCAGAAGTACCAAGTTACTGCAAGATATGGTCACACGTATAGTTTATACTTGAGTAAGAACATGGGCCCGGGATTGAATTCTGACCACAGCAACAGGGGTCGCGCTTGCCCTTAACCCACCGGGAGTGTTGATCTGGACGGCAGCCTACCTGCTGAGCTTGTTTTAAATGAACAAGTTCATCTGCCAGCAGGCAGGGTCAGAGCTTCCATGAGTGTGTCTTTGTAGTGTGCCCAGTTTGCTCTCCCATTGTCGTCTAAGGCACATACAGGAGCATAAATGATAAACATGTTTGGACATGCTTGCCACTCCAGGATTCCTTCAGATTGAATTTTAAATTTATAAAATCAGTGTTCACTTGATTGAAATTAACATTTACAAGTTTGACACAGAGAATGCATTATATAATTCTTGAGCAGGTGGATCTGTGGGGGGGTGGGGTGGGGTGGTGGTGGTTTCCTTTAAGCCTGTCACCAAAGGATTTATTTTAGTAAATTGAATCCTCTACATTTTGTCACTTCCCACAGAGTGTTTTATGCACATGTATTTTTCCCCCTCTATTCTTCCTCTCCCAGTTGTTTTCATAGTTGGTGATACGGGCGATACTTATCTCTGATTTTGGAGTATTATTGCCCAATGGCTAAAACCCAGTAGCTTGTGGATTAATGGCTTCAGATAATTATTAATAATGTTTACTAAATATTTATTATAAACTGACCTCAACTTTTCCAGACAGTGTCACTTCTCAGAGTTTTAGCAGGACAAAGAAAGCTGTTTCTTTAAACTCAATCAGAATGACTTTGTTCCTATTGTAAACAAACATATTCCAAGTCCTTAAAAAAAAGAAAGCATATGTGCTTTGAAACAATCTCCTAGCTTTTGTCACGGAACCCTACTGGATGCTTGAAATTCACAAGAAGTAATTTAGCCTTTACTCAGGAATTTTTTTACAGAAAGCAAGAGGTTTTCTCAGAAGGATGTAAAAAAAAAAAGCCAAATTATTACCAATGACAGTTTTTAAATCGGAAGCATTAAATTAAATCAAAGTGTTGAGGATTCAGTAAGCAGATTCACTGAAATGGAATAAGTGGAGGAAATGAATAAGGCAGAATAAAAGCAACTAGATCGTGAGACTCAATAATAAAGAGATGAGAGTGAGGTTTCTATTTATTTCTGTGGAGTATTGATGTCAATTCATTTGTGAAAAACCAGTGCATCTAGACTCACTGGGAGGGTGTAATCTAGGGGCAGAAAAACAATTGAATCACTTGCTCTATTGGATGGAAAAAAAACCCCTAATTATCTGTTAGGAAAATTATTTTTTATTACATGTAGGAAATTGGAGTCTACTGAAGCAATTGTAGTCAGGCTAGTTAAGCTCCTCTGAATCATTGCTCAACTACATTTCAGAACTCCAGGTGTCAAATTTCTAAGCACATAAAAAGAAAAATGTAGAAAATCAGGAATGATGTGTAATTTAAAATAAATTGCAGGCCATAGTCAACATAAGAAATGAATGTGAGTGGTTGATATAATTATAAAATGAACACATCCATTTAAATTTTTAATCAAATAGATATAATTTCTTATGTTTTTATTTTTTAAAAAAATTGAGTGAAAGATGTGCACTTTAGGCCAAAAAAATTTTATTTGTATTGTTTTTGTTTGGGAAGGAAAACACTCCTCTAGAATATCTGACCCATAGGCTAAAAACCCAGAGGGACACATTTACACTCACCCTGGTGATCTGGGAATTATTTGATGTTGAGATTTTTATGGACGTTTTCTGACTTGATTACATACATATGGTACGGAGAAAGTTGTAGGTGCAGTTTTCTTCCTATAATGATCTGCCAAGGAGGACATTTGAAGAGAGGGTATCTGGGGATGAGACTGTTGAGAAAAGCAGGGCTGGCCAGATGGTGCTGGACATATGTGGTAGGTATGATACAGCTTGCTTTTATTTATTTTTTTTAGAAAATTTAAATGTGGAGAAGATCTCGGCAAGCCAGTTGGTACCTCTTCCTTTGATACGATCATTTCCTTTTAAAGATTTGGCCTTGCTCATTCATTAGACAAAGAATTCGAACTCATTTCTGGAGATGGAGACTTACCTTCCTTGGAAGTGAGCGGAAATCTTGAATTCTGATTGTAATGTCAAAAAACATCATCTCTCTCTGTTATTTGGGAGTACACGCCAATGTAGACAGTCTTCATAATGTGACTTACTAGCTTTGCTGTATCTGAGAACACATGTCGTAACCAGTGTCCCCATGACGTAAGTTTCCCCTCACTGGGACTGGTGATAAATTGGCCTGTTCTGAGATACTCCCTTGCTTGTTTCTCCTTGAGGTCCAGTGTCCATCCATGTGAGATGGTTGGCCAGGAATGAGGATGGCTGTGGGGCGGAGGAAGAAGGTGGCTTTTAAGAGAGGGAGGCTATACTCCCACCTTCACAAATGTACCTGGTTTTGCATTCTTTGGTTCGTTTCTTTATTCATTTAATAATGTTCCCCTTTCAAGCATCACCCTTCTTTTGCCCTGTCAGCTCATGTCATAGGAGCAGAAGGTGCCAACTCATTGTGGGAACCATTCTGTAGAGTATAATCTTGCTTTTAACAATACTCTTGCTGACTGGTGGCAGATTAAATCTCAGATAATGATGCCCAAGAGGAGAATTTTGATCCTTGGCCAGCCCAGAGAAAGTATGATCGAGAAAATAAAATATTTTCCTATTTTGTAGACTCATTTGATGAATTGCATTAATTTTTTTTTGTCTGTTCACTCCTTACTGACTATCTTTGAGATCAGGGATCAGTGCACTTGATCTGTAATGGGCCTGAGAGTAAATATTTAGGCCCACTGGGCCACTCAGGGTTGTAACTCCTCAACGCTTCCAGGTAGCATGAAACAGCCATAGATAGTGGATAAGTGCATAGGTGTGGCTGTGTTGCAGTAAAACTTCATTTGCAAGACCAGGTGGCCATCACTGGCTGACCCCTACTATATCCTATAGTGTTGTTATAGCATCCTTTAATATTTTAAATCCTACTTGAGTATAGAGAATGACAGACATAGCTTCCAGAGACCTGGCCCAGTGAGTATGGTTTATTTCTTTATTTTTTTTAGGAAGCTCAATCTTTGTTATTTAGTTGCTTCCAGTGATAATTTCCTAGATGGCAGAAAGCACACCAGCCTGCAGCTTGGTTATTCAGCCTCATCCCTAAATCACAGCATCTGAGTCAATGGGGAGAAAGTGTCCACAGCATTATTTTTATTTCCTTTCGTCAGCCCCCCTATTGTTTGTGTCACGCCCATCTTTGGTGATGACCACTCAGTTCTGTGTCTCACCTCAGCCTCAACCATAAATAGCATGCAGTTGGCCAAGAAGTTCATTGGGGTTTTTCAGTTCCCTCTTATGGAAAAACACAATCAAACTTCTTGACCAAGACCATTTCTGAGATGTCATAGTATTCTGTGCTTCCTCGAGAATATCCAGTGGTCTCCTGCCCACGTCTCCCTTCTACTCTCTAAGGGGAGCATTTGCAGTCTTCCCACTGAGGAGCAGAAGCCAAAATCTTCCTATATCTGTACGTTTTCCCCACTTCTTGACAACTGGCAGTCCAGAAAGGACGCCATTTTAAAACACTCCTCAAGCTGAGGCTTCCCCTCATGATCACGTGACTCCCTTTTAGGTTTTGGGCCCCTGTTCTTTTAAACAAAACATATCCTATGTTCTTTGAAATTTTATAATTTGATACTTACTGTCTTTAAGTTTGGCTCAGAGATACAAAATAGAGGGTTTTCTTTCCCTTCACGTGGAAAGATGAATTGTTGTCCAGAGGCCTTGTCACCCACTTAACTGTCCCTGTCTCCACACCTGCAGGAAGAGGAAGAATGTTGAACTGAGTGTCTTGGGCATGACCACCAGGCTTTACTCAGAAAACACATTAGTGTTGGGCAGCGCGTGGTTTTTCATTGTCATTGCCAAGCAGCCTGTGCCTGACTGCCCACATGAGGAGATGAGGGCAGAGAAGGGATGAGTTGTTGACTGACATTTCCTGAATTGCCTACCCTGCCTTAGGTCAGTGTGGTTGGGGGTGGGGTTGGGGACCTAGAGACCCATTGCTTGAGCCACAGGGTCCCAGGTTATTCTCTTGCATTCAGCCAACTATTTATCTGGCAGACATGGATTGGGCACCTGCTGTGTGTTGGACTTGGAGAGAGAAATTTTTTGAAAGGAGGATGAAAACTTTTCAGATAGAAGTGATCGAGCTACTGGGAATCCTCATGCTTGAGGCTGACATAGAGGGCTTATAGCCACTTTAACCAGGAGTATGACTTGATCTCCTGGTTCTTTCCACCGGCCCCTGCTTTTGGAGAGTAGCACAACCCATGGTGTGAGAGAAACTCCCCTGAAGAGTAAACCAAAACTCTAAATGCAGGAAAGGCTGAGAGTTCAGAACTTTTAAGAACCCTGAAATAGCATCAGGAGCTTGGGATCTGAAACACGTCTTGATGCACAGAAGCACAGCTTACCTCCAGACAGACCTCAGCAAAAGAATAGAAACAGTGACAGCACAGGCCACAGTTGGATAACCTGCCCTCTGGAGTCACATCACCTACATTTACGCACAGGCTCCTCCCTTCCAGCTGTGTGATCACGGGCAAATAACTTAACTCTCAGTTGCCCCTAGCTTCTTCATTTGTAAAGCTAGAGGAATAATAGTACCTCCTTCATAGGATGGTTGTGACAAATACCTTGATCTTAAATGATTGAGGTAATGGTAACAGTCAGACTGTTTTTATTTTACATATTGGCATATCCCAAATGTTCTAAGCTGTGATCGCTTAAGAAGGTATCTGATTTAAACCTAATGCATGTGTAGAGGCCATCTAAATTTCACAGCCAAGGCAGATCCATCTCTTCTGACCCTAAACAAGGTCCTAAAATAAATTGCTTGAGGGAATCAGATCCCCATGATTTCAGGTGGGAAACTTTGAAGTGTGTCCAATATTCTATTGGAGATCAAAGAAACCCAACTAAAGAAATTGTGGACTGACTGGAATAACAATCATGGACTGAGCAGAAATTCTTTTTGAAAGGACTGTTTTGAAACTTACGACTCAAACCTTGGAAGGACTAAAGTGATTGGCAGAATCAGAGCATGTGACATTCCTTAAAAATGTATTGACTTAAGTAGTTTTGCCTGTTACATATAGTTAAAAAAAAAACTTTAACACTTTGCATTAAAAAAAAAATTCCTGAGGGAACAGGTGTAACATGCTTTGTGTGGTACCCAGCACACTGTAGCACATATCTCCATTTAACAACAGAGTCAGCAGCAGTAAAAATACTTCCATTATGTGGTTCTGATCTTGTCCTCACATCCTTTTTCCCCTCTCAAATGTCTTTAAAAGCCTTTAACTCTCCTTAAATGTCTCTAAAAAACATTACTTTGTCACAAAACCAAAGAAATTTGCCCTAAAACACCACCTAGAAATGTAGATCTCCACTTCCCAAGTGGAAATACCACGAGAGTTTTCAGAGACTGTGGAGAGCGGAGTTGGGTTTCATAATGGCTGGGGAGGTGTTCAGTGGATCTGCTCAGGGCATTCGCTCTTTTGCCTTACCATGTGATGGTTTACTTAGACCTTATCCTCAGTGGTCTAAGATGCCTGATGGGGCATTATAATGTGCTCTTCTGATGGAATAATTCCCCCACATCAATGTCAGCACCATTTGTTTAATCCTTAAATATTTGTGGCACCCCAGAAACTGTAACCCATCATTAGGTTTGATAGGATTCTCAGCTAGAAACTGGCCATAGTGACCTTATGGTCTCTTGAGATTTCAAGGTTGTAATTCAGCTAACAGTTACCAGCATCTGATTCTGTGTCAGGCAAGTTGGTAGACAGTTTTCTGTCCACTTCCCTAAGAAGTACGAGATATAGTCAGATTACCAGTTGGGACCTACTTGAGTCCCCAGGAGGCCACTGGTCACCTTGTGTGTGAGGAAGCAGTGCTTCAAGCCCAATGCCCACAGCCCTTTCTCTGTCAAGACACTGGGAGATCACTGGAACAAGATTTAATGTGGAACATTCTAGACTCTGAAGTCCTGAGCTTAGATAAGATGAGATGACAGAGAATACTGCCGATGTCATTGGGAGGACAGGAGTGTCACCTTAGATTCAGCAGACCATCGGGTTATTGTCTGGAACTAGCTACCATTAGAGCAAGCCTGGATTCACATTCACTTACGTAGCTACAACAATGATTGTGCTCTGTGGGTCTGAAAGTGAACTGAACAGAAAGAAAAAAAATACAATGGTGAGAAGCCAGCTTTTCCTTATCAACAGTGTCTGCCCAACATGAGCATTCGAAGGGGTGAGGAGGATTGGGAGGAGATGGAGAAAATAGAGAAAGAAAATATTGGTGATTTTTTTTTGTCAACTTAAATTCAAAAATGGAGGAGGAGATGCTAATGTTCTCAGCATATCATGCTGAGTTGATAAGATGGTACTGAAAGGTTGCAGTTCAATAGCATATTTTGTGTATTCGTCGTTTCCTGTAATTATATGGTAAAAGAATACATTAAAATGCTGATGTAGAATCTTTGCTGGAGATAGAGACACTGACTCTTTGCCACCTGAAATTGGCAGTGAACAGCAGAGCTGAAATGGAAATTGGCAGGTACCACTGGATGTACCCAGGCTCAAAGAACCACCAGTACCGTCCCGTGCCAACCCTGGGGGACAGGGCTAACCCCTTGAGCAGTCCAGGTAAATACAGCCTCGGGGTGCATTCGCATAGCAACTCAACTGTTATCTTTAATATGATTTGTGATAGCTCTTTTGGTTTGGTGCTGTTTTCTGTTTTGCTTGATGCATTCATTTGTTCACAGGGGCTGGGGTGGAAGTGGCCCTTTAAAATTGTTTTCATCATCTTTTTCTCTCTTCCTCTCCATTCCACCCCATCTTTCCCCTCTTTCTTCTCCCTCCTCCCTGTTTTCTTTTCCCCCTCATCTCTTCTTCTCAAAGGGAGCAAGGTACAATGAGATGTGCCTTGGGGTTAAGCATGAAATGTCTAATATTTGAACCACCAATGGGGTGGGGCAGTCACACATGCCTATCATGGGTCCAAGAACTGAGCTGGGACATTTGAGGAGCCTGGGCTCTGAGAGTGCTGTCAGTGGCCCCAAACATCTCTCTGGCCACATGGCTCTCCAGCCCTCTGATTTATTAACATCAGTCTGTTACCTTTGAGAAGGAAAACTGAGAGCCCATGAAATGAGGATCATATACTTGGGTACTTGACCCCATCGGGTAGGTCCATGGGGTCCAATCTCTAGTCTCCTTGCTCAGAGGAACACTGGCCTCTCAAAACATCTAAGTGCTGAGTCAGAGTGAACTGTGCATCAGCCCTTCTGGGGACCTGGAAGGGGAGAAACCTGAGCGATATGCACACCCACCCTCCACATCCCTGAAGTCCACACAGAGCTAAGACTCAGTGGTTTTAAGTTACTTAAAATGGGAATAGAAAGGGATGGTGGTGGGTCAGAGAAACACACTAGGCTTCAAGTTGTTGCTGGAATTCTGTGTGAACCCATAGCGTCGTTCATCCAAAATGTCTTCTTAACTTCTGCAAGAATAAATCAGAAATGACAGCATAGAACCGAAGTCTAGAAAGTCTAGAAAGAGTGATCTGGAGGTACAATGTAAGACCTACACTGAGTTACAAAGTCATAGCACCCGTCATTCACTTAATAATTGAAACTTTTTTCCCTTAAAACCTGAATTGTGGCTTCAGGTTAATTAACACGAAATCTGCCTTTGGATTTAGTTCTATGTCTTGAGTGACAAATTCTTTCACTCCATCTCTGGCCGCTAGGCGCCAACTCTGTGTGCCTGTGTAGTGCTGGCTTGAAGAGGTGAGCAAGAAATGCAACCAGACATTTGTTCTCTTGGAGCCTTTGAAGGATGGAAGGTTCTAGAAGCTTGATTTTTAAAAATTGCCATTAGGCATGATATATCCATACAGTGGAATACTGTGTGGCGATGAGAGGGAATGAAGGGTGCATACTACACACTGCAACACAGATGGGTCTCAAACAGGATGCTGAGTCAAAGATGACACATGAGAGCAAATACTGCAGGGTTCCACTGACATGAAATGTCCAGAAATGGCAAATCCAGAGAGACAGAAAATAGCTGAGTGCTTGCTGGAGGCTGGGGGAGGCAGCACTGGGGAGTGACTGCTGAGGGTACAAGGATCTTTTATGGAGTGATGGAGCTGTTTTCAAATTAGATTGTGGTGATGATTACACCACACTGTAAATTGACTCAAAACCACACTGGGTCGTACACTTAAAAAGGTGAATTTTCTATGTAAACTTAGCTCAAAAGCCTCCCCTGCGTAACGGTTGGGGCTAAATTCTTAATTTAGTTAAGAATTCAGAAGAGTTGGGGCTTTTGAAAAGTGATGTGGCGCACATACCGTGTGCACTTGCCGTGTCCCCAGCAAGGTCCAGGTGCACCCCTCAAGTGCAACACATGGATCTTTCTGGAGCGCTGGACTCAGGTCAATGACATCTGTGAACAGCCTCTGGGCTATTCAAGGTCAGTTTTGGATATCAAGGGAATTCAGAGCAGAACAGGTTTGGCTGCCAGATGAACTCCACCCCCACCCCACCCCCAAAAAGAAACCAACCTTATTTTTCAGAGGTTTGGGAATTCTGGAGTGGTATGATGAGAAACTGTAGAATGCTAATAGTTAATCACATTGCTGGTGATGTTTCAGGTGAGAATTCCAGGATCAAGCAAGTTCTTGTCAGAGGGGGAGAAAGAAAATCCTCAGAGGGAAGGACAGAACCTAGCCATGGTGTCGCCTTCCCTGTGGCCCAGAGATTTTGCTGTCTCCTCAATCAGCGCGGTTGCCATTCTGTGCTTAGATCCCAAACCAGATGGTGTGAGGGAAAAAATAGACGATTCCATATGGCTCTTGTGTCTTTTATTTTCCCCCTTTGCAGAATTCTCAGTTTCTTTCCAGTGGGGGACAGACAGTGGGAAGAGGTTTTGGTCCACACCAACGGGGAGATCTTTGCCAAAGGAAAATGCAGGCACTGTGGCAGAGACCTCCTCTCCCCAAACTGCTTACTCCCCATGAGGGACTTCAAGGTGCTTCCAGTTTCCTTTGCCTCAGTCGTTTCCCATCTTCCTTTTTGGGTGAAACTTCTCTGTGGAGTTACATTTTTAGCACTTGGCTGGTGAATCCTTCACCATCTGTACTTCTTTCTTCTTTTTAAATTGTTTAACTTCTTTGACCAGGTGACATCCGCATCTTCTTTGGGCCTCCAGGAAATCAAAGGGTGGGTGGCCACAAGGGCCACCTCCGGTGACACTGCCTTGGGGACCTAGGCCTGAGGCAGTGGCACTTGGGAAATGAGCCCTTTGGGCTTCAGTTGTGTTCGATGGAATATTGTGCTTAGCATGTAGGGCATGGTTCAGGCGACTGCAGGTTGTCACGCGGGCTTCAGTCAGTGTCATCAGAGAGAATTCAGATCCTCTCTTCCATGTGCAGTCCGTGGGCCAGCAGGATCAGCATGCCCTGAAAGCTTGTTACAAATGCAGAGTCTCAGGTCTAACCTGAAGCCTGCTGAATCTGAGTCTGCATTTTCAGAACTTTCCAGATGATTCCTGGGTATAATGCAGTTCGAGAAGCACTAATTGAGAACAAGGTCCAAAAGCAAGAAGGGAGAAGACAGAGGAAGGAATTGAAGATGTGGATTTACCCTCAAAAGTTTGAGAAATCGATGTGTTTCAAAAAGATGGAAGAGAATTGCTTCAAGTGTCCATTCTCCTTTCTGTCTCTCTCTATGGGGAGGTAGGTGTAAGAATTGCCAGTCATTAATGCACTGAGTCCTGGTGAGTTTGAAAGGCTGGTGACCTTGGATTCTCTTAGCTACTTGTCTGAAAAATGTGCCTCCTCTTATTTCTTTGTTTAAAATCGTGGTGAATGAGAGTGGAGGATGGGGCAGTGAAAATGGGACCGGCTTGTCTCCTTCTGGAGAAAGCGAGGAGAAAGCAGTTGATAGGAGTTGGGAGAAGTTCTCAAATGCCCCTTGTCATCTTCTTGAATATAATCCAGTGACATGTAAGGTGCTGTCACCTAATACAGCTGTAAGCTAAAAGACCAAGAGTGACTATTCAGACACTGGTAAATCTGTGTAGTTCCGCATTCAGTCTACCAGGTAAGGGGTACAAAAGCCACTCCCTTCAGCAGTCGCCAGTTCCCCTCCTGTTGTTGTCATGGATGAGTCACTAAGTCGTATCCAAGTCTTTTGCGACCCTATGAACTATAGCCCTCAGGCTCCTCTGTCCATGTGATTTCCCAGGCAAGAATACTGGAGTGGGTTGCCATGCTCTCCTTCAGGGGATCTTCCCGACCCAGGGATTGAACCCACATCTCCTGCATTGGCAGGCTGGTTCTTTACCAATGAGCCAGTAGGGAAGCCCCTTCTGGCCAGCTCACAAATCCTAATGGCCCTGATGCTTGGACTCAGATGGCTGTAGATAATTCCAGAAGTCCAAAGAGATCACCCTCTCACATATGGACTAGGACCAAAGGTATGGGGAGAGCATGAGGAATGTTGGTGTTTGGCCGAGTGTTGAGCAGGGAGCCCCCGTTTTGGGATTTTCATGGCCAAGATTCCTGAGCAGCCATGGAAATCCCAACACGGGGACTTCCTGCTCAACACTTGGCTAAATACCAACATTCCTGCTTGCTCAGTACTGTGCATCAGGTCACACTGCTGGACTCCTCCTATCTGCCCAGGTGTGACCTGAAAAGGCAGGCCCCTTGAGATCCCCAGCCTTTCTCCCTCTGGCCCCCTAGTCTGGGACTTCTCTGTCGTGGATCCACTCTATAGAGTGACACTTGGGATATGAGAGTCCCGGGAAATGCTATTGGATTTGGTGTTAGACTGTCTTGTCACACTGTCCTAACCTGTAGTTGTAAGGCCTTTTCTGAAAACACTTGAACTGTGTTTCGAGGTGGGGAACCCATAATCTCTCTGTGTGCATCTTTGGTCTCTGTCGCTGGTCGTCTGTGGACTATAGCCCGGGGTCTGATGGTGTTGTATGGGTTGTTGGGCAGGGCAACTGTTCCCCGGAGTCTGGCTGGAAAAGTATTCTCGGTTTACCTGCTGTGGCCAGGGGAAGCCCCCAGTGTGTGTGTCTGATGGCTGCCTGTGATTGAAGTTGTTTCAGGTTAAATGCAGGTGAACAATGGACACAGTACAAGCATGTTCTAGCCCAGGTTCATGCCATAATGCTTCTGAGTTTTTAAAGAGTTCTTTGCGTTTTGTTTTCTGCTGTGGATTATTTATTCCATTTTCAAATTACCTGCAGTTTTCACCCAAAAGTGTGCCAGTATAGGGAAGGTAACTATTTTATAACTTATTTACCAAAGGCTATTATGTCAGTCATGTACATAGAGTTTTTCATTTACAAATGTTCAACTTTTTATCAGCTATACTGTTGGTATATGCTTAGCACTCAATTATGTAGCAGTGGCTGCCACTGTGTCTGTGACATACAGAACTCCCTTTGCCTTTTGGTCTTGTGTCTATTCCTCAGCTCAGAGCAGACAAAGAAAGCAGAGATGAAAAGCAGGTCGGCCAGAACTGAGTGTCTATCTGGGCCTTTCGGTCAGGTACAGCATCTGGTTTTAGAGAAACTGACTTGGATTATTCAAAGCAGCAATTTATAGTCTCTTAGAAACA